GTAGAGGAGCCGCGGCTGGACCATGAGACCGGAGGATCATCCGGACCGGGGAAGCAGACTCAACGGCTGAAGAGGAGGCCGGCATATCAGCGGAGGTACATGGGGCATCGGCGGTATGCAACGGTCTGTGTCCTGCTGCCTCCGCCAACACAGGCGCGGGGATTTGAAAGGACACAGGCTGCTGCAGCCACAGTTCTCCTAAATGTACCGGTGGCTCTTGATCTCCAGTGGACGTTTAGCCCATAGTTGTTTAAAAGCTGCTTTTTAAAAATCCACTTTTAATATATCCGGGGATATCCAGCAATTTTGCGACTATCTCGTACTGCTGCCCTTTTCTTTCCCTCTGTTTTGAGTTGTGATCACAGGCCTAGGGCAATGTAAACATTACTCTGTTTGCAATTACAGTGCAGACAAACTAAATGTAGAGGAGTGAAAACAAGGCTCCACACCTGTCTTATTCAATCACTTCATTGCTCCTTGGATGGAAACAGGGATTTTCACAAATGAGTGAAGAGTTTGGAGAAAGGAACAATCTAGGACAAAGCTGAACTGGAAAGTGAGCTGAATTGGAGAATTATTTTCAAATCGGCTATGTTGGCCCAGATTGGTCACTTCTCCTCCCTTCTCCAAACCCTTCACCCTTTAGTGAATAACCCTGTAAGTTTATAGCACATGTTTAGAGCTGACCAGTAAGATCTGTGAATTAATGCAATGTAACTACATTTTTAGTGTATTGTAGAGGTCTGACGTATAGTAGCTTCGCAAATGTATTTGGTCCTTTTTTTTTTTTTTTTTCCGCCTGATGAAAAAGGGGAAATTAGGAGTACAGATTACAAATAATTATATTGCTCTCAACTAGCTCCAGATTATGCAATTAAGGGGATACTGGATCATTGTAGCTTGAGCAGGCATAAAATGTTTTAGGGATGTTGAAAGATTACCTATACGTGTTCAGACGCTGTCTGCTTCTAGAATTTTGTGGTCTCCACTAATTGAGTGCATTGCAGCCTAAATAGTTTAATGACTTGTTCGCAAATTTCTGTTGAACTGTATTTTTCAACACACCATTGTATATGTGGTGTGAATGGGTACATAGAGAACAGTTTTATTCAGTGTTCTCTGTTCACATAATGTGTGGTGGTGTGCAGAAAACCACAGCTCAACAGACATGGTGTGGGCAGGACCTTATGAATGTGAAGTAGTTGTCATCTTTTTATCACTTTGATTAGTAGTCTAATACTTTTGCAAGACCTAGGGTACTTTACCTGCATTAGTATATTTTTCTTTGAATACAGGTTTGAGCAGCAACAATATAACATATGGCTTCAAAAACAAGTTTTTTTAGGGATGGTTCACACCAGTACATTGCCTTAAAGTGGACCTCTACCCCCTGTATCACATCAGCATACAGCTCTGCATGCTTATGAAATCATCTTATATTCATTAGCTAAACTAACATATTTATTTTATGCAATTTTTTTTTCCCCACTTCGACACAAATTCTGTAATCCTGCCCACGCCTTGCATCCTGGGAAGGTTACATCAGCAGAGCATTGCTGGGAAATCTCATTTGTAATCTCATGAGATTCGGGTAAAGGCATTTTCCTTCCCTGAGATGTGCATGGTCACATGTCCTAGTCACATGTGCCAGAGTTCCAGGAAGTAGAGATCTAGTAATCTGCCCTTAGTTAAAATGGCCACTGTGAGAAGAATGGGAAAGAAAATAGAAATAAGGTATGCAAAGAATAAAAAGCCAGCAATTATCTGACAGTCTGTAGATTGTCATTACTAAACATTTCTAAAGTTGCCTTTTGTTTTGAAGAGAAGGGTAAAGTTCCTCATTAAAGCATGCACCTTGAACGTGTGTCATTTAAGAAGCCTATTCATTTTTAATGGGACGCAATCTACCTAAATTTGCGCATGACACTTTAAACTCTATGCACAGATTGTTTTATTGCCTTATAGTGTGGCAGTGTTTCCCAGACCTGGCCCCAAATCCCACCAACTAAAGGCTCCCCAACACTGCTTCTGTGAAGTCCTCACATTGGCCTGAGATGCTCAACTTTGTACCAATGCACAACAGGCTTGTTTCCAATGGTGCCAGTGTTTGAAATACAACAGCGTACACTGATTTGTATTAATAACATTGAGATGTAATATCGAGCTGTGGATTGCTGTATACTGCAATGTTAGTCTCTAGTGCTTGCTTACCTATGGTTTACAAGACGTTTTTATCTGTTATGTTTCCTGCATAATGCTGTCTACACAGATGTAATCTCCTAAGCAAGTAAAACTTCAGCATTCCTCAAGATCTCAGTGCTTCATCTAAACACAACCCACAGCCAGTGCACATAAATATCCTCCATTGGTGGGCGCTGGAAAAAATGTTATCACAGCGTGTCACCTCGCATCAATGTATCGCAATAAGCATTAGTGACCTTTTTCTTAGAGGAACATTACCCTTTTCTTTAAAATAACAAATGCACCTTTATAAATGTTTAGCGATGGTAGTCTACAGATACTTAGAAATGCCAGCTTTTTATTCTTTGCATCCCACCCCTTAGTGGCTAGTTTTTCTACTAAGGTAGATTTATCCATCTCGCTTTACTTCTTGGAATGTGACGAACATGTAACAGTGTGCATAATTTCAGGGGACAATTGGCTTTCCATGACATTTTTGCTCTTTACACATGAGCTTTCCCAGCACTGCTGTGATGTAACCTTCCCAGGATGCATCCCTTAAGCATGGTCTACATCACTAATGCCTATGAAGACCAGGAAGTGGAAAAACAATTGTAAGTTAAATAGGGCTGTGGAAATTAACGATTAATTTCTCAATTAATCGTTAGTCTTTTGGATTAAACATTTTTTGATCGCTAATGAAAATACTCACCTCTCCGCCGGCTTCCGGGAGTCTCGTCGGAGATCTGGTGACGTCACGGACATCGACGTCATCGGACTCCTCCCCCTTCCCCAAGTGCCTCCGTCGGCTAACTAAGGGAAGGGGGCAGGAGTCCGGTGACATCTATGTCCCCAAGTGGCTCCGTCAATGTCTGTGACGTCACCGGACTCCTCCCCCTTCCCTTCGTTAGCCGACAGAGCCACTTGGGCCGGTGAGTTTGCCCAAGAAACCTTGTTCTGCCCTATCAATTTTTAAATAGGTTATACTTAAAAGTAAAGGGAACATCACTGTGCAGCCTGCCAATTGACATCGAACCTTCTACAATCTTCCCAGCTGGTCAGTGTGCCCACAAGTGTGGACCAAACTCCAAGGCATTGGCCTATACACATACAGCACAGCAATGAAGTAATAAAATGAACTAGGATCACACTAATCCAGCACGTTGTTATTCTGAGTTGCCCCACACAAGCAGCGGCCATATTGAGTGGGGGACGTGAGATTAATAAAGTGCTGGATTAGTGTGATCCTAGTTCATTTTATTACTTCATTGCTGTGCTGTATGTGTATAGGCCAATGTAGTTGGATCTGTATGTGCGTTATAATCGAAATTAATCGATTAGTCGATTTTTAAAATGTTCGATCAAATTTTTTTAAAATCAGTAACGGCCTTAAAGTTAAATCAAAATGATTAATGAATCATGGATAGTTTCATGAGCACACAGATGAATGCTGCTGCGATTTGCAGTTAAAGGGTGTAAACCCTGACTTTAAGCCTGGAAAATACGCACATCAATCCATCATACTACATAAATAGTGCTGAAAAGTCAGGGCGTTACATTTTTCCACATTGGTATGCACTGATGCAAGCACTGGTGTGAATGAGCCCTAAATGTTTTGCATGCAACATCACATCTGCGCAGGTGGAGTAAATGTATTTGTGTTGTATATAAATTGTGGGTAGGGCTGGTGCTAGACTGTTTTGCGCCCTATGCAAGACCAGCTACTTGCATTAGCTACTAGCTTGCACTATTAGCTAGCTTTTAATTTGCAAGAAAAAGAACCATAAGATGCCAACAGCACCAGCAGTAAAGCCGAAACATATATTAACCAGGTTTAGTTTGTCATTTACACTGAGCACACTCCATCATAGACATCCACTAGAGGGAGAATCCATCTATTTGTACTGGAGATGTAAATATGGAACAGTAAGTGTAAAAAGCCATCAGTAGCATAGCAGATCCTTTAAGTCCTGTAAGTTGCAACGTGGGGCCTCCTTGGTTAAGATTTGTTTTTCCAGCACATCCCACAGATGCTCGATTTTGGTTTGAGATCTGGAGAATTTTGGGGCCAAATCAACCCCTCAACCTTGTGGTGTTCCTCAAACCTTTCTTGAGCCATTTTTGCATCATTGCAGGGTGCATTATCGTGCAAAGTCATCAGGGAATATGGTTTTCATGAAGGGGTGTACTTGGTCAGCAACAATGTTTAGGTAGGTGGTACTTTTCCAAAGTAACATTCACATGAGTGGCAGGACCCAAGGTTTTCCAGCAGAACATTGCCCAAAGTGTCACTGCCTCAGCTGGCTTGCCTTCTTCCCATGCATCCTGGTGCCATCTCTTCCCCAGGCAAGCAACATGCATGCAAATGGCAATATAAGTTATATCAAAGAAACCTTGATTCATCAGACCGGGCCACCTTCCATTGCTCCGTGGTACAGTTCTGATGCTCATGTGCCCATTGTAGGCACTTTTGGCGTTGGACACAGGTTAGCTTAGGCAACCGATCAGCCTGTGGTTACACAAACCCATATGCAACAAATTGTGATGCACTGTATTCACACCTTTCTATTGGAACCAGTATTGACTATTTCAGCAATTTGAGTAACCGTAGCTCTTCTATTGGATCATACTACAACATGGGCCAGCCTTTTCGACCCCATTAGGTTTGTGTTTAGCTTGTTGATGTACAGATATTATTGCAGATGCTGGGTTTTGTTTAAATACAAATACAAATATAAAAGACAAATGTTTTAGATCGGTCGGCAGCTTTGTAAAATAAAGATCAAAGGGTCATTGATGTATTCACTATCTTATTTTAGGTACCTCCAAGTAGGGAAGAGCCAAGAACACCCGTCTTAAGCCAGAACATTCCAAAATTTTACTTTCCTAAAGGATGTCCAAAAGGAAACGTCAATATAGATGCTATAATTTTGAAGATTGAGAAAACGTTTTCAGCTTTTCCAAATGAGAGAGCAACACTTGAAGACATGGGAAAAGTAGCTAAGGTATTTTCCATGTGTTTCAGTTTACAACACTATGTTCTGCATTGTGCCTTTTACAAAAAAAAATTCTACTGTGCAGTCACGGAATTTATTTTCTTGTGTTTTGAATGTTGAATTATACATTTGCTTATCAACCATATTCCTATGTAATCTGATAGCTATCTAGTTACAGTAGTTCAAAGGAATGTTTGACTGCTCTTGCTCAGGGTGTGGGCGAGACTTGCTGGATTTCAAATTGTGATCAGTGCTTCATGGTTAGTTGATTAGAAAAGAGTGCAGTTAAGCAGCTCCTGTGCACAGAAAGTAGCCCTGGCGGTACACCATAGACTATTTTAGAAGATCCCCAAAACAAATGTATATGGTCCAATGTATTAATTTTAGTCAAAAGCAGTGTTCCATAGTAGTAAGGGGTATCACTATATGAGGGCTACAGACATTAAATGCCTAATTTTGGTCTGATAAAGTATATTTATATTACTTGCATTTTTATAGCTTAATGATTGGAGACCCCATGATGTCCCTGAAACTCATCCTGTCTGGCTTGTCTTGAAATGCTTATTGGATTATATATACATTCCACACGGCTCTCCTCTTCCATCATTCACCATAAAGCTAGGCTATATGGAGTAATTGGAGTTGCGTTTTTTCCTGCAAAAATGTTGCCTCCGAGCAGATGTATCTACCTGTGACATTGCACAGTAGCTATGGAAATGGCTGTATGTAACCATAATATGATTTTATATAATGCTGACCATTTATGCAGCACTTTACTGTACATTCACATTAGTCCCTGGCCTCCAGGAGTTTGCAATCGAAGGTGCGTGCATGCATGCATGCATACATACACTGGATAGATGTCTTATCCCAACTAATCACTGTTTGCTAGACTTGTATCGGCAATGTAGGTTTGGGACAAAGCTTGCAAAGCCACTGATTAACAATTTGTCTATGCTTGGCTCCTGTAGTTGACTTGCACCATGCATTCCTTGACTTTCTATCCACTATGCACGTCCCCTCTGCTCTGGCCTTGGCAGAGCAGCAATCCATCCCCCTGAAAGTCGAATACTGGCCTGCTCTGTCTGCAGTACTGCACAGCATGCTGGCCTGGCTTTTACTGAAGGGGCAATTTCATAAAGCATACTTGTGCCAAAAATAATTGTCACTTTGGGCTCATTCTGAAAATGTTGGCTACTTGCCTGTCTCTGGCCCCAACACTTTTGAGCTCGGAGCTGAAATAAGAATGCAGAAACACCCGGTACACATAGTTCCTTCTGACTCCATAAGCACAGACAGCCAAGCAACTACTGTCTTCCAAATAGAGAGGTAAGCAGCTGCAGCATATGCATGTCGCTCATCAGACTTATTTTCTTTAATGCTAAACTCCAGGAATTCCTTTCCCTACCTAATCTATATTGGATCTCTAAGTAAATTACACCTATACTGTCAACATTTCAAGAAGTACTTTTTAGTGTTGTATACAGCACGTCTATGACATTGTCCTTTTCAGCAGAACTCCTATAATTTAATTTTGCCTTGAGTAATGTCCTACCTTCTGCCCACATATCAAACTACATGTCCCAATATGCATTGGGAACGCTGTAGTTTCATTGTCATGGGCGTAACTGCAGGCATTTCTTGGAGTCGCTCTAGTTGGTATTGGCGATACAATTGGTTGAATAGGAGAGCAGGCACTGCTTGGGTGGGTAGGTGTAACTGTGCAGGTAGGCATGCCTGGGCAGAATTGAATGGGTTGTGATTAGCATCAGGGTTGAGATCATCACCTCTGTATTCTAAAGAACTGAGGTTGGTCTAGTCGACTCAGCATCGCACTGTAATTCACTGCATGAGCAGAGTGTCACACAGCCGGGAATAAATTAACCCAAGGGAGTAAGTTTTATATTCTGTATGTGGTATCTAAAAGAATGGTGACTTGACAGAAAAATGCACTGGAGCAAGGAATTAGGCAGACTTGTATAAATCCAATTCTTTTTTTTGGAGATCAAAGTTGGAATGATCTTTAGACTTGACACTGGTGGCATTCATTGGTTTGTGTCCTAGTGTAATAGAGCTCAACTGAAATACAAAGCAGGGAAAGTACTTTGTTTTTGTATTCATGTACTTTGTTTAATAGTTCTGCAAGCCGTGCCAGAATTCCCTAGTGGGACATATTCCCAAGATAGTGTGGAAGATAAATACAGCGCGTGTGATTAATAGGAGGATTTCTCAGCACTTGTACAGGCCTGCCTTCTATCATGAAATTTGTATTGCAGAATGTCATTTTCACAAGGCTATGTATGGGCATTTGGTAATGGCTTCTTTTGGCCTCAAGACCAGCCTTTAACTTGTTTTCCCTGATCTGTTTTGAATTTGAGTAATTTTTGTGGGTTCCAACCCACATTTCATGTTAATAAATGTAAGGGCTCATTTACTCAAGTGTGCTTAGTTTTGTAGTTTTGGCATACAGTAATGCACATTGAAGAGTAATTTATGGAGGTTGATTTAATATTGGTTTCATAATCTCCTACAAATATTGCTGAAATGTGGGGACATGGCTGTTGCATAACATGGAATAGTCTCAACAGGTCACCGGCACACAGATGAATTCCATATCCCTGATATATTTATTGAAAAATGTCACGTCATTAGAAGCTGAAGCTGGTGTTTCGGGACCTCGCAGGGACCCTTCATCAGAGCAACATAGTGACGTCACCATGTCGCTCTGAAGGGTCCCTGCGAGGTCTCATATGCTAGCTTTAGCTTCTAATGACGTGACATTTTTCAATAAATCTGAGATCTTGAATTCATCTGTGTGTGCTGGTGACCTGTTGAGACTATTCTGAGTTTTGCACGGCGCCATCCGTGTGATCACCCAGAGCACCACCATTGGAAGATTGCAGACTGTAAGGAGTGCGGGTGGTTCTTGGAAACAACTGTTGCATAACATGGCCTGTTACATTATTATCAGCACCTCAAATTGCTCTTTTTCTTGTCTTAATACACACCTCGCTTGTCATTAGTTATATTTTAAGCAGCAGTGTTCTAATCTTCGGAAATTCCCTAATACAATAAGAGAGCCTTACGTTCATGAATAAAAGATACATTTGTCAATTAAAAGATACAATTTCAATTAAATGAGAAATCCATTAATCATTAAAGGAAAAGCCAATACAATACCTTATTGCTTTATGCTTTTTTGAGTAAAAAAGTTAAAACAAATTTCTGCTGATATTTTGCCTTCCCTGATACCTCCCTCCCCAATCCATAAACACACTAATGACATTTTCTAGATCACAACTGTTTTCATTACATATATTTTATACCCATGAACATCACCATCTCTGTGCTTCCCTATGCAATGTTGGAAGCTCATGATTGGTGGGAGCAGATGGCAGGGTGCTGTACATAACTTTCTGAAATCACCGCACCCTCAGTAGTCATCTCAAGAGCCCTCTGCCCTAGTGCAAGCAGTGGGTTGGCTCATGGGATGAACTATGTAAATATCAGTTGGCAGAAACATGTATATATGAACCTCACTTTTTTTATATTGTATGGTGGCTTTATACCAACATTCCAAATATATTGCACAAAGACCAGGGACTTTAATGTACTCCCTATACATTATAGATTAGTTAAACTTATTAGATAGAGAAGTCTAAAATCTGACACGACGTACAAAGGAGACGTTAAAATAGCTCCTGTATTAAGTGTAATGAATTCCTCCTGGCTCACAAACGAAACACCATGTGACCAATACATTTATTCAACATTGCACTAATGTACATTTTATCTCATGGCAATGATTTTGGTGAGCCAACTCAGTTGACTCCTCAAAATCAAGAATACAAGCAGAATGCTCTAGGTATGTCCACATGGTGATGCAGAGTCTCCATGACAATCCAATTAATGGAGTGGGCCAGGAGCAGTAAGGATGAGGAGGAAAGAGCAAGATGGATGTTCTACAGCAAGAAAATGAGGCAGGCTCTATCTGACTTGATGTAGCTTCTAATGCACACTAAGAAGCTTTGTGTGCAGTGAAATCAGAGTAAGCAATTTCTGTATAGGAGAGGAGACTGTACAACATTACAAAATTGATGGCACCTTTAATCTGATACGCACAGTGATGAGATTTAAGGGCAATACTTCTGATTTTCTTATCACAGTGAGACTCTTGAGAGTCCTTGCTTTGAATGAGCCATGAATCAATCCTAAATGTGCATTTATAAGAATGTAATTATTCACTCAAGTTTATAAAGCAGGGTTGGCCAAACCATTGTCCCTTCAGCTGTGTTTAAACTACAAATCCCATCATGCATCTGTGGCTCAGTCTTTTTTAATGCCTAATGGGATTTGTAGTTTCACTACAGTTGGGGGGCCAAAGTTTGGCTACCCCTGTTACCAAACTTTTGCGGTTCATGGGTATAGTCTTAACCATTAAAGCAGACCTGTGTCGGGACTATAGAGAGGGAACCATATGTTCTTAAGCCAGAAAAGAGCTTTTGCATACCTCTCTAGCTGCCTGTAGTATCGAGTAATTCTCAAAGATGACAAAGGACTCGGAATTTGGGTTTATTTGGTTTCTAAAAGCCTAAAATTTCTTGAACTTTGAAAATACAATTCTCCACAATTGCTTATAGCTACAGAGGTGAATGAAGGCTTGTTCTAAAGTGCTTTGCTGCTTGTGTACTATATGCTTTAGTGTGCATAGTCTGGGCACAGATTTGCTTTAAAGGAGAACTATGAGGTGAGTGATTTTCACTCATCCTCATAGTTGGAGCCGACCTGTGACAATGAAACTGTCACACGGCGGCTCAATAGGTCCGGGAAGTCAGTGAACACATACCATCGCTTGCTCACTTTCCGATCATCCCCCGGCAGTGAGCCGTGACTGTCAGTCGGCGCTCCCTGCAGGGATCCCCCCCTCCAATCCTCCACCGCTGACTGAAGGAACGGATGTGTCGGGCAATGTTGGCTTTGCCTCTAGGTAGGCAGAGCCAGCTGTCACTCGCACAGCTGGGTGGATCTCAACAGCATTGTTGGGATCCTTCGCAGCTGCGGCGCTCTCGGTATATAGCGGGCAATAGCCCGCTATTTACTGAGCTTTGGGTCATGGAGGACGCTAGTATATGTCCTCCTGTGACCCTTAAGAGAACTTTGGGATAAAAAGGTTGCCCCATAGTTCTCAAGTATGGAATGTGCAGTTTATTAGTTGTCCTGCATGGCTGTAAACAAGCTAATATTTGGTCACCACTAGAGGGGTTTAGAAATAGGAGTCCTGCTCTACATTGAACTAATCAGTACCTAGGGAGACATGTTTCCAAGCATAGTAGAAGATACTAAGGATTACAGTTGCATGAAACTGTATTAGGAACAGGAATTCTCAGTACAGGAAACCCATACTAACATTTTCAGAGGCTGCTGGGATAAGTACAAATGTAATCGTAAATGTGTAGTAGTGCTTTTATAATAGACAAAACTTGTTTTGTTCTAACAATTGCTACTGTTTTAGGCATGCGACTGTCCACTTTACTGGAAAGCTCCATTATTTTATTCAGCTGGTGGAGAGAGGACTGGATGTGTGTCTGTGCACAAGTTTGTGGCTATGTGGAGAAAGTAAGTGATCTTTCAATCAGCATATTACAAAGGGCACTAACCAATGTCATCCAATCAGAATTCCCTTTTACTAAAGCGTTGCTGCATGGAGTTGGGAGAAAACACAAACACCATTTTTTTTTTTTTGCCTGAGTATCCACCAAGGATTAAATGTCATGGTTGTATATCACCTGACTCATTTTAAGGCTGTCCCACAATCCCCTAAATTGCAAGATCACCTTTTAAAGCACATACCTCTCCTTTGGATGTTTTTGTTAGACTTGGTATGATGTGTAACGGATCTCAGTACCCTGGGTATCCGCTAAGGTCACAGCTTCCTCATGCCATCAACCCAATCCAAAGTTTGATGTTGGGTTATTTAGTTCTACCCAGGAAACAGCCGAGGCATGCTTTAGGGTAAGAACATTTTATTGAGACCCATTTTATACAAATCTGGATGGGTAAAAAAAATAATACAACCAAAACATTAATAAAGGCAAACCACCGTCCCCAGTGCCTGGAAGTCTGGAGCAGATATCAATCTTCTGCCATTTTAAGCCTTGATGGTTTGAATAGCCAAACTATGTACACAGGATGGGTGAGAAACAATGGGTATAATGAGAGTAACTGTTTCCTGAGAGTTATGGTAATCCCGTTAACCCAATCCCACAAATGGACAAACACTTTAACTATCTAGATAGGAGTCTAGGTCCAGAGTTAACCCCTTGTGTGCTACTGCATTCCATATTGTCAGTTCAGGACTGGGTGATTGGGTTTGTGAAACCTAGTTACTGGCTCCTAAGATGGCCTCCTATCACAAGCTCCATAATCCAGAGTCTCTAGTAATTGGGAAAACATGGTGCCCCCTACCAGGGGAAAGGAGCCCCAATAGCCCCCACCTCCCAAAAACCAAACCACTTTCTTAGCCAAGGTCCATAGTCGGTGGGGAGGAGGCTTGCCTTCAGTCCCCTTCAGTTGCTTAGGACTCTGAGGCTTCCATGACAACAGGACATGGGGATTGTTCATAGTGTTCAACATGTCATGTTTGAACTCTTGAGTAGTATCTGGTCTGACGGAGGCCACCTCTGCATCCTGTTTGGGCAGACATGTTGGCCAGACGGAATTGTTCACATTATCCCATTTATTCAGAATTCAGTAGTGTGGTTTCCAAAAGATGGCCTAACATGGCTCGAAATTTAACTGATTCGGGCTGAATTGGCCGAATTCCAGCTGTGGTTGACGCTCAGTACCACCGGGTTCCACTAAAATCTGTTAAAGCCAGGGGAAAACTTGTCGGTCTTACTGCAGCTTGTCAGATGCAGGCAATGTTTAGGTATACAATAGCCAAGAAGGGAGATTCCTCCATCCACCCTGTTCAGCAGTGATGTGGAAATCCATAGATTTCCCTTGCTCATTACCGGGGACTAAGGTGAAATATAACCTTGTGGCTAGCCTAACAATAGATGTCTGCACACCCTCCCACAAAGTCTCTTGTCGTTGTGCTCCTCATTTACAGCATGTGTGTGTGATCTACATCTTTGGGACCTAGGGAAGAAAGCACTATTTTATACTAATGGCTGTAGCACTTTGTTCGAACTGGGATTCTAGGCAGAAATATTTTACAACTAGAATCCCTTAGAACTGCAAAAAAAGACTTTGGGAATATGTAACGACTGAAAGATCTGGGCAAAAGTGTCTCCTGACCTTTTATTTATGTTGTACTGTATTCCTTAGAGTCTTGCACACTTGCCACGATGACGCTGCAAAATTTCTTCAGCTTCTTGCCAAGCCTGGCTGCAGCTATTTGGAACAAGAAGATTTTATTTTATTTTTACAAGTAAGTATTGAATTTCCTAGTACAATGTTGCAGATTCTACTGCCTTTCATTTACTGTTTAGCACCAGTCTGGTACTATATTCTTGTAAATTTCATAAGCCATAAGGTAACAAACATTTCTCTATTACAAATCCGATTTACAGCAAGCAAAAAGAATTGTGCAATGTGTTCTAGATCATGTAAAAGTGTAGTTATTAGGAAATCACTACTGTAGACTGTTAATGTTGCCTTGCTTTTCTGTTGTACAGGATGTGGTGAACACTCACCCACATTTAACTTTTTTGCGCGAGGCCTCTGAATTTCATTCCCGCTACATAACCACAGTAAGTAACAATTTCCTCTGTCTTGTAAACTTGTTCTACTTTCTTGATGTGTTTATTAAAGTGGACCTGAGCTCAAAGATTTGCTGTCTCCCGTTTGGCTTCCAAGATCAAACGAGATCGGGAGCAGTTAGGGTGGTGTGGCCCTAGGCAAGATTTGCTGTCTTTTTCAGGAAATAGAAGTTGTGACTAATCATTCTCTTAAATTGTTGCCTGAAATCACTGAAGAATTGCAGTGCACCACCAAGCTTTTCTGCAGTGAGATCTAAGGCACTGCTGCCTCTGACTGCTAGTCTCATGAGATTTGGTTAAGTCACTGCTCTGAGACTCGCTGTTCTCCTTGCTTGAGGGGAGCTATACCAGAGTACCTGCAAGGATCTTCCTGCTTTTAATTCTGTGATTACTGTTTTTTGATTATGCCACCAGTTATCAGGGGAAACGCTCTGACATGAGGGAGCAAAGTCCTGCTCCTCTACCAAGATGGCCACCTACGCAGACTGTAACAAGGCATGCGAACGTCCGCTCTCCGATCTGCTCCCTGTTCTATGGAATCGGGAGCGACACGTATTGCATCACTTCTGATCCCTGAGCTATCATTGCTGGGCTCCTGAAGCCCAGCAATAAGCTAATAAAGTGCAATCTGCACTTCAATAGCTTAGTGGAAAAGTGATACTAGGGGTCTTTTGGACCCCCATTATTACACAGGATCTTTCACTGCCAATATGCTATCACATGGGCTTGTAAGCATGCCCCCCCCCCCATGCGATGGCAATTAAAAATAAAAATAATGAAATGTAAAAATAAGCCCCCTGCGAGCATGCATGTCTTCACGTAAACACGTGTCGGGTGCGCCTATGTATGAAAACGATGATCGCGCTACACATATTGGGTATTGCCGTGCACACCAAAGAGCAATCATTCTAGGGCCAATATTTATGTGCATCTCTAAACTAATAACCTGTATGGGCTTTTAAAGCGTCTTCTATGGACTTTTTGGGGTACTGACTTTTGATTTCACGGACGCACACAATTTTTAACCTTAGTTTGTTGGGTATCTATTTACGTCGTAACCTCATCTTTTATATTGTGTTTTTGGGGCACTAAATTTAACTTGTTAATTTTTCACTACATTTTTGGTTTGATAAGTTGCGCTAATATCCTGCAACGTAAAAATTTACAACTGCCAACATTTTATTCTACAGGGTCTTGGCTTTCAGAAAATGTTTGGGGGTTTGAAGTAATTTTCAGGCCTAAAATGTGGATTATAACATGGGTGCAACAAACAAAGGCCTCGGTCATTACGGGGTTAAACTAAGATCAGTCAAGTTTTACTTTTCTAACCATATTACATCCATGTAATTAGTGTAACCTAAAACATGGTCCCATTGCAGCTATGTCATCCATTCAGATCCTTTGAGAGGCTCTGTAAATGGAGAAACTACAAGTTCTATCAGTCAGTGTGGCAGCGTTCTCAAAGAAATAAGTGCAGTGACATCATAGGTGAAGCAGTAAAAAGTAACCAGGGAGATCACCTAACCGACTTGGTGATAAAGGGTAGCACTCTGTAGCCCACTTCCTGAGACTAGGGTGATCTCCAGGAACATAGATCTGCATAGAAGACCTTTAACCACCTTCTAGAACAAAGACAAAAGGTACCTAGAAACGGCTGCTTTTGGATGGAAGCTTATTCAGCTTGAGTTTTTATATTCATTTTAGTGTTGGGCTGCAGTACTCTTATACGTTGCAGTGCAACTAGCACTAAATAGCTGGATTTGTGGCAAGTCCTGTTGCTAAAGTTGCCCTTGTTGGGTTGGTGGTCAACCCACTGGTTGAAAATGCATTTTTCTTGCTCTTTAATTTTGAACTCCAGGCAAACAGTGTAATACATACGAGAGCTGTTTTAGCTTACAAAAGATTTGTATTTCTTTCCACCCAGTTCTGGGATTTATACAGCCACACAGGACTGCTTTGTTGGACTGGGCAGGAGAACTGATATTTCTCCTGCAGTTCATGAAAATGTACAGGTCTCCCTTTTTTATTCTCCACTATTTTGGCTGAATTGTGAAAAGATCAACTGCAAACGAATGAGCTCATCTCTGCCCCTCTGCTCTTATAGACACGCTCCTTTCTTTGCTGGACACAACTGATTGGCAGATCGATCTAAAAGGGACAAAGTGTTGGCAGGAGTTTAAGTCCAATGTTTAAGTTTTATGTAAGGTTGAGGAGATGTTAGGGATGGCTTTCTGTCCTGGTGACCAGACTGGAAGTGAGGTGATCTCCTGTTGGGACAAAGCAATGAAAACCAGAAAGG